GAGATTACCGATCGCTATGTATATGGGCGAAACGCTCACCATCACGCAGAGACCGTCCCTCAGGGTAGATGCGCCGGTGTGCGCGACAACTCCTAAGACGCCTCTCTGCACAGCCACGAGAATCAGCCAATTTTCTACATTATCTAAATCGCTTTATGCTGGGGACGCATAATCGACCGACGGAAAAAAGCACGCCCTACATTTACTTAAGCATGTGTGATAATTGAGTCCCCAACACGTCCGCGAAAGGCGTCTCATTTTGTGAAATAGCTTTTCCGCTTGCACCAGTCGTTTATGAATATGAGTGGATATATTAAGGTCTCTGCCAAACCAGATTTCCAGAAACCTAACTACGCATTCTTGCACCAAGTAAGTATTGTATCAACGACTGCCTGTTCTTTGGACTCTAGGGTTTCTCTAAAATTGCCATCTATAATGACAATTCGAGAAGAGACGCCCTGAGACAAGCATTCGTTGAAAATGTTAAAAATTTTTCTGTAAGGTATGCGATTGCACGTTTAGCAACCTCCACTTCTAGTATGGCTAGCCTTAGGGCTTTTTCATTCTTAAGCGGTCTAACAACTTGCTTAAATTCTTCCATATTAAACGCTTCTGCATTATCTGTGTTAGATAAATTAGGAGCGTTTATCTTTATCCTGCCCTGTTTATCTGTATCCACATCTGAATGGTCATCGACAACGTGGACTGCCAGCAATCACTCGGCTGTTCCTTGAAAGTCTAATGTTTCATTACCTTCTCCAGTGCGAAGTGCATTCATAAATTTTTAGGTCCTCAGTTTGTCGGATGCAATTTTGTAAACCGCACCCTATTTTTCCTCGTTTCCGTAGGTTGTAACGAACTTTTTTCAGCTCTTTGTTTGCGCTTTTTTAATCGCTTAAGCATAGTTTTCTACCTGCTAGTGGTATTGGAGTCTCACTCCTACGATTCAGTGAGTATCTGCACCGTGCATTTTAATGCGCTGGTACCTATGACGCAGTCGGTAAACATTACGCTTCAAACGGGATAAGCAGTTATTCCACCAAAGATTCGTTTTTCTTGGTGCTTTTCGACGTGGGATGAATTTTTCGCAAAGTTCTGTTAACCTATTTGCGAGGGAGTCAGCAAATCTATTAATGTTCAACGAGGGGTCCAGCCATGGTCTAGCGGATAGTTTGCTTTCCAGCTCGGGTATCAACTTACCAAAGGCTTCCGAATCAGCTGCTTTGACATTAAACCGTTGGATTGCCTTCGGTTAAGTTCTCCTTGGGCCAAACTGGATTCCGATGACCAAATGATCTGACCTCGAACCCACTGTCTTTCAGCTGACCATTTGCTTAGGGACTGTGATAATCTCTGGGTCACTACCCCAGAAGCGTAGCGTGGGTAGCTTTTCCCCTCTGGTGTCGGAATCTGGTGATCCCAAAGAATATCAGGTGTTCGCATCCCTGCAGATAAGAACTTGCTTGCCTTCAAAAGTTGTCAAGATTTTGCTTAAGTAGTCAGTGTGAATTTCAATTGGATCTTTATATTGGAAGTCATATGAATTTGCATAAAATGAATAACCAAGTCCTTTAATGAGAGTACACGTACAGTGTGCATTACTATGTTCATGGATATAGAGCATTTTAAGAAGAAAATCAACTACGACAATAGCCGATTTGAGTGTTTCTCGATTATGGGTTTTCGCGGCGACAAGGGCTTAGCCAAATTTCCTAATTGCGTAACTTCGTGAATCGGCATTCATGGAGTAAGCCTTCTGTAATAACAGTACGTCCAGTTTCTTTTCGTTCACAAGTGCATACGCTTTTTTTGTATAATTAATGTTAAGATGAAGGTTTATTTAAGGAAGACGAAGTTCATCTGTTACTCTAACATTGGCATTCGTTGCGATATTTTTGGACGGCGTTTGGAGCCCAACCAAATACTCCATCAAACGTTCCGGGTCCAAGTTTCTCGGTCGTCTTCTTGATCCCCTTTGATTGTCGGTATGGGATACGGTTGTCTCCTGCAGCTTTTCCGGTCTCACGCGTAAATAATGGCCCCATCGCAAATTCCAAGTAGGGCCGGTTTTACTTGTAGATATTTTTTTAAGTACACTTGATTCCATATTTGCTTATCTTGCCTTAACGGTGACAGTCCCGGTGGTATGTGTTGTATCGAGATACGTATTAGATACGTACTAAAAAATATAAAATTACCAGGGCGGATAGTGTATGTGCATTTTTAAAAGAATGACTCATTGCATTATAATGGTACAATGATAAGAGACTTAAAAAAAATTAAATTAAATTAAAGTTATTCAGTTTTGGTATCAATTGTGGCTACTCCCTCAACCGAAGAAAAGTACCATGGCGTACTATTATTGCTACGTGTTACTTTTTGATTAGAAGAAAATAGAGAACGTGCCGGGCAAGCTCTATACATTCCCCTACTCACATTTACAGGAGCCATAGTAGAGAGGCCGGTCAGGGCCTCAAGGATTACCTATGTAAAGTACAGAACAAAAAAATGAATCCTTGTTCACGACCAATCAATCATGAAAATAGAGCAACTCTCGCAGTATCGTCATACAATATTTTTGGGAGACAGACAGGCTCCGTGCGTCTACGTGCGTTTCACTAGCCTACAGGTTACATCTTTTTATCTGCATGCACCATGTGACTTAACCCATATATGTACATATAGACACGTGGTTAATGCAGAAAAAATGATAGAAGTACGTATAGATATATCTGAACACCTTCAATATTTCATGAATTATCTCTTAACAAAACTTGCAAAATTATTAAAAGGACAAAAAACTTTTTTTCAAATGGAAAACATATTGCATAATTTAATATCCATAAGTATATTTACGATTTAATATCAGAAACACAACTACTTTCAAGGCTTGAGTATTTTTTTATTTATTTAACACGAATCACTTGATTAATAAGCACTGACACATAGATTAAATTTTGACGACGTTTTCAACAATGTGTTAACTGCTCTCATCAGTTACTTCCGCATGGTGCAAACGCAGGCGCACAAACGATTTCCAGCGTGTGCGCAGACTCACGTACATAGAGAAAATTGTATGGAACTCCAGACTAATATTTCGAGTTTTATGAAAAATCACTGTCAATTCGATTACTCAGTAAATTGTCCAAAAGAATTATATTCAGCAGTCGATTTTGAGAATAAAAGTTTTGATTCACGAAATTCTGTGTCCCTAAAATATAGATATCAAATGGTTTTTATGCTTGGAATGAGGGAGCAAGATGAAAATTACCGTGCTGAATTATAAAAGTATATGACAGTAGAGTACAATGTATTAGCATCACTTTCAAATTTATGGTTCATTCTATAATCTTTATTTAAATTCATGATAAAAATGGCCAAACACGCAAGATACGTCCAGTTTATAGTGCTGGACTATAATTCTTATATTACGTTTCTTTCTGTATAATACTTCGCGAAGTGTAAGCCACGTTATTTATTTCATGACGAAATAAATGATAAATATTTACCGGAAGATATTTGTTCGACATCCTGCTTAGGTGGGTTGTTATCCGTTAAGACCTACAAATCACCCAAGTTTTAACTTTTACTTTTTGTCAGGAAGGTATACATACGTACCTGTCTACATACACACACAAACGCCTACCAATAAATGGGCGTTCACACGCAGCCAAAAGTTGAAGCAAATGCGAGTTGAGTACTTTGTTGACTGGAGATTCCTAAGATTAATTACTAGATAATAACTTATGGCAATATAAAGTAATAAAATTAATATTCAATTACAAACTGTCAAAAATACGTAGAACCACGTTATTTTTATTATTAAAAATACAATTAATGCATTTAGCATAAAAAATAATGTATGTAGCCACAGGCGTGCACCTGTACGTGTACAATAAGCCTTTGAAAATTAAAGAAAATGTAAAAGAAAGTTCATGTAAAATAAAAAATATACTTTGAAAATCATCAAATTTATGCACAACACGTGTAGTGGTGTTAATTTTTAATCATTCAGATCTCTATCCTTATATGACTGGTGCAGTAAATATAACGCATGCAGTCATTATTACTTTTCCTCACGTTTCATAAAGTTTTTTTTTTGGGCTGATGTTTGAGAGTTCGTTTGGCATAACGCGTGCAAATGACACTTCGAACAAAAATGTTTCCTTTATTCCTACACCCTCTCAACCCTCCACTACAACTGTCGCCAAACGAAACCTCTAAATGTTCTTTTTTGGGTGCTAACTGTCACTTTCTTGAACATGTTTAGTTTACACGTGCCTGTATTTTTTGAAATCGTTGTAAGTTAGTGTTGTTTCAGTGACTCGTTTCTGCGTTTAGTATCTTAGATCACAGTCCTCTACGTTTGAGTTTCTTGTAATTTGAGTGGTTTTTCGGAGATTATGTTAGTGTGTAGACAGATTCCGCGCGTTATTATCTCCGGACAAAATATCCTCGACAATATATCCCCGACAAAATATCACCAGACAAAATGTCCCCAATACAAAATATACTCGAAACAAAATATTATTGGATAAGTAAAAAAGCATGGATGTAAAAATTCGCAATAATTTTTTAACACTCGGTCCCTCCTGCTCCCATCTTTCCATTACACACCCACTAATCATGAAAATTTTTTTTAAAATTGATCATAAACTAACACAAACTTCAATAATACAAATGAGATTTCAATTTTATTAATATTACAAAGTTCAAACATACAAGTGAGATCATTTTAATCTTATTTTTCAGTCAAACTATAAAATCACTGTCAATTAATCACATATTTATTTTAGTATTTTTTTAATCTTATAAATTATGCTATATGCGTATGCGTATTGCACACATTGCGATATGCAGTATTAAATCATTGGTCATATATTATACTTATAAAGATCCTATCCATATTCAACAAAAATTAAAGTTTAGTAATTAACAAAAATAAATTTGTATCTTTCACGTTCTCCATAAACAAAAAATAAACACTTACAACATAACGACTAGTTGTTAATGCACAATAATTTCGCAATACTTCGTAGATACTCAAACTTATGGTTAGGATCATAATTAAGAACAATATTTTTTAAACGACTCTGATAATTACGATACGCTTTACACTTCTTACTTTCAAAATTGAACCCTGTATCAATTTGAGCCATTAGCATTTCAGTTTTAGTCTGCTCATCTTTTATTGCATCTAAAAATTTATTCACTGTAGCATGGGAAACAGATACTCGTTGGTTAAAACTATTATGCCAGCCTTCCATTAGATTGTTAGATGTAATTCTATCATCAACTACGGCACGATAATAATTCCACAATTTAGGCTCAAATAATGGTTTATCACGTTTAATCTTATTATGGCGTGGTTTACCAATCCATGTCATAGTAAAATAGTTTAATAAATCATCCAACATTTCATGATGAATATCATAAAAATCACTAGAAACTATTACTTCATAGGCACTTATAACATCATTAACTGGAACATACGCTAATGCCATTAATAACTTAAGATTTAGAGCAAACGTTACATCTTTATTGTATCGTGCTTGAAAGCCACATAGTTGAATATGACGCCACACGCATTGTGTGAAATGAAAATGACAGCCAGAAATTTTAATTCCTGGATATGTTTCTTTGATAGCATCCATGAAAGGCCTTTCAAAGTCGACCATAATGCGTGATGGTGAATATTTAGGTAGACTCCGACGTAAAACTTTTAAGAAATTTATATACATATTCTTAGACTTATTAGGTGCTAATAAATACACCAAAGGCACAGATTTACTACTCATATATCCATGTATAGTATATAATTGAGAAAAGATGTTAGGTACTGACTTAAACGTACCGTCACTAAGCCACTGTTCGCATTTTGTTAAAAAATTTAAATTTTTTACAGTTGTAAATACTAAAAATCTATTTCGGTCTCCACCGCTGTCATGAAGTAAAAATAATTCGTTATTGTAAGTTTTTTTATATTCATCAAGGAGCTGTAGTTCACCTCGAGAAGTTGGATTGTTGAATTGTGGGTTATGTTGAGTCCGGGTACGCTGAATCAATCGACTAATCGACGTTGTCATTGGCATTAACGCTGCTACTGGAGACGCGACACCACGTAATGCTCCAGAAAGAATTTTAGCTGGTTTGTAGTCGGTTGTTTCAGCTTTACGTTTTATTTTAGCTTTTATAATCTTCATTTGCACCACAGCCGCATTTACAGCATGTTCATGAACCGGTACAGTGCCAACAATGTTACCTGAATGATTATGGAGAATTAGAAAAACATTTATAACTACAGAAATTATAGTCACTCTTATTAATAATAACAAATTTATAGATTAAAAAATTAATATACCTGTTTCATCTTCACAATCGGTATGAATTATCTTTGAACAATATTTATTAGTGGCACAACGCCATGAAATATTATTTTTATTCACTTTTTTACGTGAGTAAATAATGCCCTCATGTACCAGTAAATTTGTACTCTTCTGCGATTTTATAAATTGCAGTGGCATTATGCATACCATATATACTTGAGATTACTTAAATATAATAATACTACTTTTGAGCATATATACTTGAGATTACTTAAATATAATAATACTACTTTTGAGCAACAATTTTAAACATTATATGAACTAATAGAGCACACAACAAAACTATAACCTCGTACATCATCATAAATTATACAATACTAGATGGCATACAGAGTATTAATATAATTACATTAATAATTGCCACTAGGTAGCGCGGCGAAACGTAGTAACTTTTCAGCGCCAATATTTAAATTTGTAACTCCATTTCAATAACACAACATTTACATATCGTTATAATGTATAGATATTTGATAAAAAATATATTTTGTCTTGAGGATATTTTGTCGGGGATATTTTGTCCAGGGATATTTAAGCGCGATATCGTGTAGACAATGTGCGATTTTCATGCCTAAATCTACAAGGCGAGGTATTTCAGGTGATTGGAGGGTGCAGATGAAACACATCATCAAGAATCACCACCGAGGACTCTCGCAACTGGCCGCGATCTTCCAAGAAGATCAACTTCTACACAATAACCAACCTCCAGAGGGATCGCTACGTTAAAGGACGAAGTGTTATTAGACTTTAGACGTGTTTCTTTCTATTTAAAAGACAGAAAGAAGAGCCAATTTATTCCTTTTTTCATTCGTTCTTCTCATGTAAAGTAAGTTGTTATTGTTTTGTTTTTCTCTTTTTTGTTTTTTTTTTTTATATACGTTTAATTTTTCGGTATTACCCTTTTCTAAATGTTCGCGATTTTTGAGTCACAGTGATAGCGCTCTTTTATTCGGCAACTTCACGAAACTTTAATGTTAGTTCACATATAATATAACACAAGGTAACAGGTTAGGACGTGACACACTATGATTATTATAATTATAAAGTTTGAGTGCAAGTATATCTTTCGCTTTATTGTTTTTTTATTCTCAGTCTCTTTATCATTTGGAGTTCGATGCTAAAACAGTCAGAGCTTTAAACAAGTATAAATGAATCGGCTGACACGAACTTACATTAAAAATTACCAATATGTTAATAACTAAATGAACAGTAACAAGTAAGATAATAATGAGAGAGTATGTCTAAGAATTGTCTAATATGAGTATACTGAAACTGACTCTATGATTTGTCTGTGCATAGTCTTCTAAGATTACTGGAAAGTTTTCCTGGGTTGGTCCTTGGATCAGGAATAGTCTGGGTTTTCAGGAATAATCTAAGTTTCAATGTGTTGGCATTAGCCACACTGACGCAAGCAAGTTATTCTGATAAATCTTATATCTGTGTCCATGAGGTCGTGAGGCGTCTACACTGACATCGTTCGCGCCTTTTGCAACGAAGGTGGTTAATCAAACCAACTTGAGCTCACTGATGGTATCTGACAAGAGTTAGACGGACTGATGCCCTTACAATCATCACTGTAGATGATTATCCGCGGAGTTGTTCCATTGCTGAGGAATATTCTGGGGAGAGTTTTCTGAGTTTAACTAGTAACTTCAACTGCGTAAATTCTTCGCTAGTGTACGGTTATGAGTTGATGGTTAAAACGAGTTGTCTGTCGGTCGGCATTGTCTGATGATGCCCAGGAATAGTCTAAACGTACGCCGAGTACGGAGACTGAGTAAAACTGGCAGTAACCGAGAAATACAGACGATTAGAGTGATTGACGTAGATAAGTTGGCAGGAGAGCCATTTAGGGATCTGATTATTCGGTGGAAAAAAGAATGCCAAGCCATCGGCAGAATACCCCCGATCACGTCAGAAAAAAAATGAAATGCGTTTTTGTTATATTATGGCTCCGAACTCTTCTGGGCCTTCTAAAAAATAGAATTTCAGTAATATATTTATAAAGTTGAGACGCTAATGCTTGGCAATTGAAGATATATATATATATATATATATATATATATATATATATATATATATATATATATATATATATATATATATATCACAATACTCCATAACGCACTTTTCTTCAGGTAGGAATCCTGATTAGAACCATCCCTAAGAGACTACTACTCCTTGACCTGGGGCGCTAAGTTATTTTTATTCACCAAAATAACTGAACTGGTATAACTTAAAACTAATAACAACTTGAATCTAAACTCATCAATATCTCAAAACTTACTAACTGAAAATCCACCAAATATCTTGAAAATCTCAATACTTAAAACTAGACCTCAAACTTATATCTAACTTAATTAAAATGGTTCTACAAAATCAGGATCTTCCTTAACAGGGCATATCCTGGCCCTCAGTTGTGTAGGTAGTGGAGTAGGGTCATGTCCGGCCAACAAAGTACAATTAAATAAACTAACTAACAGGATGAGTTAAAAGTCCTCAAACTACAAAAAATCAATTAGTAAGTTTAGCATATTTTTAATTCTCGAATTTATTTTAATAGTTTTACTTAACTAGACTGTCTTAACAATTACTGTAACTCAAATCATCATTATACCTCTCTTCATCAAATAATCAATTAACACAACTACAATCTTCAAACTATACCAATAACACTCTAACATTTTGCAATTCCGGAGTTCAAATAAACGTTACATAACTAACTAAATAGTATTTCTTCAGCAAAATGTTATTCAACGAATCATGAGTATAAAATCCTGAACTCAAAAACGCAACATCTTAATTCTTAACAAATAGACAAGTCTTTAAATTAAATTAATTAAACTAAATCATAATCTTCTTTTTCTAAATCTACAGTTAAACTTGAATCAATAAGTACGAGAGCAAACCAAGCCTCATGGATTTTCTTTTATACTACAAAATATTGTCAGCTAACTGCAAATTTACCTTTCAACCCATTACAAATCCATTCTCAATAACTAACAACTTGTGCAAAGAGCTTTCAATATTCTAGCTTATGTCGAACCTAGTCCTGGTTGTCCTGGACTTCCTTCTATTTAAATTGAAGATCCCTCTCTTAACAAGATTGTTACACTTGACTGTCCATAAGCTCAGCTCATAATTGACTCTCCTCGAAAACTATTTTCCAATATTCCTTAATTCTCATTTTCTTCATTCCCTTGATTTTCTTCTCCTTCTAATCAAAAACGTTTTCAATTTGTTCATTCGTATTTCTTATGGGTGGCTATCTTCACTTGACTTCTCCCAAATTTTCATGTAGAGAGGTCACTTAAAACTAATGTGCATCAAAACTTGATCCTCATTCCAAACCTTAATCTCTAAACTCAAATACTTAATTCTACGACCTCTTTCATAGTTCCATCTTTTCCTTGAAATCTTATTTTACTGGCAACAGCGTCGTGACTACAACTCTTAAAGCTAGGACGTCGCCCAGCATGGGAAGACTGCGGGGTGATACGTTGCTCTTGGTCCTCTACTCCACTACAGCTTCCCAACTATCCTCTCAATAGTTATATAATACGGTTCACGAGTCTACTCGCTGATATTAACTCTGCTTTTCGTTGTATTATTAAGAATACCATCATTAATTTTAAGGACTAAATGAATCCCTTACCTTGGTTTGCATTAATAATAATTAACAGATTAATACCAATAATTAATCAATAAACAAATAGCCAATAACAAATTATAACTAACTATCGTACGCCACGAAATGCTTATAAAGATCATAATTTTGCGCAAAATGTATAAAAAAAAATTTAGATAACTATCATGACTCATAAATTAAGATGAAAATAATTTAAAAAAATAAATAATTAAATAATTTGGCGTAGGGAAAATAATTACTATCACTAAAACATTTGAAAATATGTACAATTGACAGTAAAAGTCAATATAATTGCTCAAGTGAGCTTCAACTAACTAAATTTTCTTTGTGAGTTGTTGTTGGTACACCCTGAATTGACCGTTATTGGCCTCAAATATTCAACAAAATAATTCTAGAACCGACAATGGTACGTTATCAAAAAAAAAACAACGTCATATGTCTAACATCGTTCGTAACCTCATTTGAGCAAGAGAAAAAGTTACTTATTAATTGGTTTCCATATTTTTCACATAATAACATCTCTTAATTTTACACACCGTAAATTCGACACTAGAAAGCGTGTAACAAAATGTGCGAATATTATTACCAGAATGAATGCTCTTGAAAAAATAAAAAAAAACTGTTAAAAAGTGAGATTGCTAGAGCATTAAATGTTTATAGATCAACAGTTGGAAAGTGAATAGAAACTGAAGAATTGCTGCAAGATTAGACGAAAAAGAGGCAAAGTGATACTAAAGACCAAAAAAGAATTAAAATCAAGTTTACAAATTGGTTGATGAAGCTACATGGTTGTGGTTTTAACAGAATCGGACTGCTGGAATACTATTGACAGGTTCTATTATACAAATCCAAGCTATGAATTATTAACAAATGTTTGGAGAAAATGGTGAATTTAAAGTAAGCTCTCGATGGTTAGAGAAATGGAAAAAGCATCATAAGATTAGGAGCATAACTATAAGTGAAGAGAAATTGTTATCGAATACTGAATCTGCTGGACATTTTAAAAAAACTTTCTTTAGTATCATACAGAGTGTAAATTTAATTCCAGCCTAAATATTTCACTGTAACGAGATTCCTCTAATTTTTAAACAAATGCCTAAAAGGACCTCAAATTCGAAAAATGAACAAAGCTCAGCAGGATTCAAAGTACAAAAAGAAAGACTATCAGTGATGACTTGTAGTAATGCATCAGTCTCTTCAGCACATATTTACCAACTGATGAATATTTTATTGACTCTGATATAATTAACATTGTTACTGGAATCATCATGATGTAGCTGGAAAAGAAAGGGTTATGATTGAAGACGAAAAAGAAAAAAAAGAAGAGCCATTAATTGGTAATAGTAAAGAGCCATTAATGACGTTCAGAATCACATATTAGAACGCTGCGCAACAAAAATGGCGGAACACATCAGAATCTGATTTTTTCTGTCACGTGGTACGTTGCAGTGCTGGACGCGATTGACTCAACGAATAATCTCCAAATTTAAATAGTGATAGTGCTAGTAATTTATTTGTTATGATTAATTGAGTTGTCTAATTCATCATAGATAATTTAATTAATTTATTGCATAAAGACATGAATAATACGTTTGAAGCAGATATAATAGCACTTCTCTTACAAGAAGGTATGACATAAAAATGATTTGTAGGTGAAGTTCAATTTATCTCCATGAATGAATAAATTTGATGACTTCTACGTTTAATTCTTTGTTTCATCGATGGTTAACGTGACATTAAATTACTCCATTATGTGGACCAATGCCTAATTTGCATGATTCATATAATTTTGCATATAATTATAATATTGTATCGAATATATATTATCTTGATATATATTAATAGGATATGATGTTTCGCATGGTACATGATACCATATTATCTATGTATCATCGTATTATACACCATTAATATTCTATAATAATAATATGATATTATTTATCATTGTAATCGACGTTTAAAAGAAAAATTTATAAATTATGATAATTGACGTAATAATTGATTTCAACGTTTATCATTATATACGACGATATAAATATACAAAACTTCTAATATAACAAATACCTCAATTAATTATCGATATGATGGAAAACATTGAAAAATCAATTTAAAACAATAATACTATTTCATTTTTCCAACCTTCCCTAGGCTGAATTATCTACTTTTAACTTCTAACCATGTTTTTATAGACGAAAAATTGTTTTTTATAAAATTGGAGCACAGCCAAATTAATTTATCGTTGACATTTGAAGAGATTTCCTCTGGGAAATTTCCGCGCTTTAACATACACCAAGTATCGATAAACTAAAAAATTATCTTAATAATAACTCTCGCCTAAATACCAGTAAAGGTAATAATCACAACCCAGAATCCGACTATGGCATTTTATCAATGCGATTAAGGCTAGGCTGAAGCCAGAGAAGCGACTAATCCCCCCTATCCAAGTACGTAAGATCAGGATTTTTCTGATTTCTTCGCCAATTTACAATTATTTTTATGGAATTAGGTACCAAATTACAGAGGAATAAATGCCGGACTGGTGTAAACAACAATTTTTCGTATGTAGTAAATATTTTTATTAAAAAAATTAAAAAAAAAACATAAACATATCATAAATTGATTTGAATGTCAAAAAAATCAATTTATAGTATAAAATTGAATAATCTAGAAATAATTAGAATTATTGTATTTCAGATGATTTTCTCCGGAAATTAGTTTGAAAAAATTCCGGTAGGTGACAGCATTATGCTCGCAGATGACCTCAGTCATCCGTATTGGAAAAATGCTCAATCCGTATCCAGAACTGATGGTGCCCTGCATTTTGGCGAGTAATTTGTATATGTGTGTATACCAGTAATACATGTTGTGATGTAAATGTAGTGCGTCACACTACAATGCCCTACACTTTGATGACTGTTGCAGTAATATAAATAAATAAGAAACCTTGGACTAGAGAATTTCCACCACGAATTGGGATTTAGATCACCACATAGGGATGTATGACACTTACATAAAAACGTTAAAAGAGTGCTTAATAGAATCAGGTGCTAAATCAAGTTTATTTATTACAGCCAAGTATACTTAAAAAAAAAAAAAAAAAGAAGAAAAGTGAATACATGGTGGAGCACTAAGTGTCAAAAACTAGTAGAGGAAAGAGGGGAAGCCTCAAGAAAGTATTTGAGAAACCGAGATACTGACACATATAAGGAGTATTTAAAGATACTAAATAAAACGCACAATCGTCTAAAGAAACTAAAAAAGAATTTTTTCATAGAGTTTGCCAATGAACTAAATCCAAACAGCAAGAACATATGCATGAGATAAGATCAGGCTTTTTAGTAATAAATTCTCGGGTAAAGATAAGACATTCGATGAAGACTCAAGGAAGGAGGAGTTATTAACAGTTGAGAAGTTAGCTCCTTCAACTGTTCCCATGAAGATATCTTATGTTTCAGGAAAGACTGAAAAATTTGTTAGAGGGATCTGGTCCCCTATTTCTATAGAGGAAATGAAGTATAATATAAAAAACCTAAGAATTAAATCTGCAGCCAGAAATGATGGTATTTTCAACGCCATTATCAAAGAGCTCCCTCCGAAGGCCATTTCCGTCCTGGCAGAAATCTTTAACAAAATCATGTATAAAAGCTCTATCCCACCGGACTGGAACTCCCAAAACAATAAGAATTAATTTTGAACTAATATAAACAACCAATTATTGCATCTATGTAGAATTTTAATGAGAAAAAAGAGGAAAAAAAAAATTGGCTATGACTGGGATCGAACCCTAATCAGTAAAATGAAAGCCTGGTGTTCTAATAACCACAGAGCTAACACATCATCTCTGACATTGTCGTTATGTTTATAAGTTGTATAATGCAGGATTAAGTACAAAGGGTAGAGATAGAGCTTGTCGGCGAAGTGCCGGAACTCCTTGCGGATTGTTTCAAATACTTCTAAATATTTCTACATTGTTCATATGTTTTCTGACTCGGCGTCGAAGAGAAACTCAAAATTTATTTCAAGAGAAGAGAAATTTAATTGATAATAATAATAACAATAATGATACTAACAAATATCAGTGCTCTGCAGTGGTCTGGGTGCGACCCGAAAGGTCCACACGACCAACTTCCCAGTGGAAAAAATAAGAAAACAATTTGAATAGAACCCGTTTCCATTCTTTGTAACAAATGGAATTATCATAAACGAAATGAGTGTGTTTTTATTGATTTGATATGGTTAGTTACTTCATATCAGTAAAAGAATAAATTGTGCGTTAGAAGAATTCGAATATACCTCATAGATTCTTTTTGTCATTATTTACAACAAATTCGATTGTTATAAACGGGAAAAGTATGTTTTCATTTATGTTATACGGTTGGTAATATTTTTTTAATAAAAGAAAAAAGATTCGGTGCTTTTTGATACCTGGACAAAATATCCCCGTCAAAATATCCCGGACAAAATATTTCCGAACAAAATATCCCCAAGACAAAATATCCCTGAGACAAAATGACTTCATACAAGATATCCCATTGACAGAATATCTCAAAAAAATTCTTATAGTCTCTACATACTAATAAAATAAATAGATATTATGTAAATTACATGGATTATTTTATTTTTTGTATTTTTTTTAAACTGTTAGAAATTACATTTATAATACTTCATGTTTCAACTTAAGACATGTTTATGTCAAATTCATATAAAAATATTCACTTCTTTCTGTACTGTCGAGATTACATATTATTAATAATAATTTTAAATTAACATTGGTTTAGTCTAACCTATACAGGAACGTAATATTGACATTGACTTAGTATGCCGTTATAGATAACAATATTCACATTATCACATGTTTTTACTTAGTAAATATCTTTTTTGGTCAATTTTATAAAAAAAGTAAAGTAAATGACTATATACTACTCATGTGGTGACACGCTACTTCGTCCGACGACAATAAATCCGCGACATTACATCCGTTTGAAGAAATGCGTTAAAAAGCAGACCAAATATTCTGTATAACCCAATATTCACATTTGGTCTGCTTTTTAACCCCCCCCGCTCCCCCCGCATTTCTTCAAACGGATGTAATGTCGCGGATTTATTGTCGTCGGACGAATAGTTACGGAACCACTCATGTTATCTTAAATTTTCACATAATAAATACTTTCTTTAATCGAATCTATAAAAAAAACATTTTTTTCTATTTTACATAACAACGTAGAAATAACATTAATTATATTGTTTATAACAGTGTTAAATAAAAATTTATCTCAATTACAACCTTATATTGATAGTACTTTTGCAATATTTTTCAAGTATTCTAATTTGTAATCGGAGTTGTAATTCATAACAATGCTTTTCAATCGATTATCATAGTCACGATAGGTTTTACGACGAGATATTGAGACATTTAATCCTGAATCTATTTGAGCGATTAACATTTCAGTTTTGCACTGTTCATCTTTAATTGCATTTAGAAACTGTCCAATAGATGCATGACAAACAGCAACACGGCGGTTGAAACCATTATGCCATCCTTCCATTAAATTGTTTGATCTAATATAATCATTACAAACAGCTTTATAACAATTCCACATTTTAATATTGAACCTTGGCTTATCGCGTTTCCTTCTATTGTGACGTGACTTACCAATCCACGTTATCTCAAAATACTCGAGTAATGTATTCAATTCATCATTATAACGATCATAATAGTCACTACCTACAATTAACTCGTAACCACATATTACATCATCAGTCGGAAGAAATGGTAATGCCATAAGTAAGCGTATGTTATAAGCAAACGTTATATCTGTGTTGTATAGTTTTTGGAGCCCACATAACTGAATGTGGCGCCAAATACATTGATTAAAATGGAAACTACACCCAGATATTTTCACTCCTGAATATATTTCTTTAAAAGCTTCAATAAATGCTTCTTCAAAATCGACTACAATACGCTTAGGTGAAAAATTTGGCAAACTTTGACGTAACACCTTCAAAAATTTTATATAAGTAGATTTCGTTTTATCAGGTGATAATAAATAAACAAGTGGCACTGATTTACCATTCATGAAACCATGAATGGTATATAATTGCATAAAAATACTCGGTACACTTTTGAATGTACCATCACTCAGCCATTGATCACATTTACTTAAAAAATTTAAATTTTTGAGTGTTGTGAACACCAAAAATCTTCTTTTTGATCCACCGCTATCGTGAAGTAAGAATGACTCTCCATTGTGTGTACATTTAAACTGGTTTGGTAATTCTAATTCACCTCGAGATAACGGATTACTCAATTGAGGATTTTCTTTAACACGTACACGATGCACAGTTCGAACTAAAGATATTGGCTTTGGCAATAACGCAGTGACCGGTGATGATATACCTCGTAATACCTTAGACACGATCGTAGCAGGTTTTGAATCGTTTCCTTTAGCTTTCTTTACTACTTGACTTTTGATAATCTTCGTTTTCACTAAAGCAGCATTTCCAGCATGTTCGTGTTTTGGTATTTCACCAACTATATTGCCTGTACCCATTGAAATGGACCCATTAAAATTACAAATATTATTTATTCAACAATGAATACATATAAACTAATAAAATAAAATAATACCTGTTTTCAATTCACTGTCTGTATAAATTATTACATTGCAATTGGAATCAGAAGCACAACGCCACGATACATTACTTTTATTCACCTTCTTCCGTGTGTATAAAATTCCTTCATATAATAATAAGTTTTTACCTTTTTGTGACAACACAAATTTTAGAGGCATTGTGTAGAACGGTCTTTCAATAACTTGATTTGATTTAAAAATTTCTAATAAATAATTCAAAAATATTGCTTAGAAACAATAGAAATACTAGCTCATAAAAATAGCAGCACTCCATATAATTACGAAATATACTAAAATAGATAGCAAGGTTTTCACTATTGCAAAACATAATTCCATAATTGAACGCTAGATAGCATTACAATACACAATGACATTTTAGCGCCAAAGTATGAAATTATTCGATTGTATATATACAATTTTTAAGAATATTTTGTCAGGAAATTATAGTGTCTGGAGTAATTTTGTCTTGAAAATATTTTGTCCGGGATATTTTGACGGGGATATTTTGTCCGGGTATCAAAAAGCGCGTTACCAGAAAAAATTATGCGTTTAAAGTACTCATATATATATAGAATGGGTTCCTATTTTTATTGTTTATTACAATTTAAAACTTATTATTTAAATATTACCATGATCAATAATCATTTATTAGTAACAATGTTCAATTGTTATGGACACAATTCCATATTATTAACAATTATTATTGACTATTATGGCGTCTTTAATGCTGTTTTCTCCATCCTGACACGAGTTTAAAATTCTTTCATTGCTGATTTTGTTTTTTAAAATTTTTTTTCGATGAAATATTGTTACCATATTTTCATACAAGTATTCTAATAATTTAATATTCATATTTTTTAAATGATTTTAAAATTCTGTTTAAAACATGGTATAATTCATAAATCGAGAAATTGAGGTCATTTTTCATTGAACCGATCATGTTAAAAACCTAATCAGTTCGAAATTACATAATTACATGTCGGATGCAGTTGGTCCCACATCGATATCATTTTTCGTTCTCGAGATAATCGAGGCGAAAAATAATTCCGACCGCACATACACACACAGACGTCCACTGGAAAACGATCGTATTCAACTCTGGGGACCTCAAAACGTGGAGATATTTCGAAATTCGGGATTCGCAAAATCGGACCCATTACTATAACTTCCCACTGGGAAGTTAAAATGTGAGCATCTGAAATGCTCACATTCATACGTCTGTAACTATCTGTTGTAGGACATATTGTTCCTCATAATGATGAAGCCTGGAAGTTATGAATTAGTTTTCGTGAGCTTATCAACATACTGTTCAGGTATGATGCTCCACGAAATGGTCATAACATTGTAAATGAGAAAATAACTAAATATTTCGAGCTCTTAAATTCTATTTTTTCTTATGTATTCAAGCCGAAATACTATTGTTTCGTACATTATGCGCAAGTATTGTTCCTTTGCTTACTTTTTAGAAAAATTCCAACTATTAGATGTGAACATCGAGAAGCTGAAATAACTCCTCATTTAACAATGAGCCGTATCAATACATGAAAAAAAATACTAAGCAATAAAACACCAATTACGTTTCAATTATACTTTTCTAAAAGGAGCCATTTTCTCTTAATGTAATTATGATAAAGTTTTTGTTACTGAAAAGGAATTAGTGGATTGGAATGGTATTTTTGATCATCAAGACTTAATTCTTTTCGATAAATCTTTTCTATTGTCAACGGTTCAAGTATTTAACCAAATAAAATCTGACTATAACAATATCAGGATTCATAGTATTATAATGATACCTGAAGCAAATAATCCTTTATTTCATGAGTTCAAGCAAATTGTACTGGAAGAAAAGAATAACTGTATTTCAATTACAGAGAAATTTCATTGTGTATTCTCAAATGAACATACTAAATCTATAAAGTTTGGAATCAAAAAAACTCATGGTATAAGTTGACAAAACAAAGCGTGAAAGATTGTACAATAATAATTGTCGTACGAATGCCTAACAGTTAATTTATTGTAAGAAATTGGTAGTAAAATAAACTAAAAAAAAATATAATTTTATAAAAAAAAAATTTGATTTTTATTCCATCCCCCCTTTAATATAGCTCTTTGCGGTGATTATTATTATTATTTTTACGATTCTCATATTATCGTGACTGTAAATTGACGGTAAAGTAAAATTTATCAACCCAGCACTGTAAATTTTATAAATTATATCATACCAATACTAGCACGGTAATTTTCCTCGGAGTTTTTAATAATTTTTATTGGAAATTTTTCTCCGTATAGGAGAGCACGAAGGCGAGTGAGTATTCGATAGCCGGACGCCCCAAGTACTCTACGTTACTAGCCTTAACGTCTGTTCCGCGAACAACCTTATCACATGGCATCTTTAAATTCAACCTACTTCTAAAGTACTAAAGATATTGAAATTCTGTAAACAGTTAATTTAATACTAATCAAATAAAACGAGTTCATATCAAAAATACCTTAGTTATCAGAGGATCGTTTTTATTCATTCTAAAAGTATTTGAATATTCGTTTGAACATGTAATGTCTAAATGTATTTTTAATTATTTCATATAATTATTTAAAATATATTTTAAGAAAAGCTAAAAATGAATAGCGATAAACTTAAGGATTGAGGTTAACGATTATTACTCAAGTTATTTTTTTTTTTTGAGTTTTCCTAAGATTTCGTTAAAATAGAAAGGATTTCGAAGAATAGTTGAGGAAGTCATTTTTTAGATATTTTATTGCTTTTGGAAAACCCACGTGGCGAAAAGCAATAAAACTCTAAAAAAAGAGTACGTGACATAAGAAGAGCGTTAAGCTTTTCCAAAAAGGGAAAAGACCATGCGAAGGGACTTGTGCGCGCCTGAAGCAAGGGACTTCTAATTATGTCACATTCGACTAAATAAATACGTAAGGTTTGATGCATCAGTCAGTTGTCGAAAAAGTAAGATCGAGATCAGATCGTCGTGGAACATCTCTTGAAATCATAAGTCTTGAGTATTGTATTGATAATACTTCAAAGTTTGTAAATTTTTGCATGAAGTTTATTTGATCGTCAAATTATTTTTAAATTGATATTTAAATTAATTCGCGAGAAAAAGTGAATAATTGCGCTGACTGGAACATCGACTGAGGACCAATTAATTGTAATTCATCTCGACCAGAGTAAAAGAAATCATCTGTTGGTAACGTTTAAATTGTTGTTATAATTTTTCAATAATTTTCATTCAATAAAATTTTGTTATTGTTTTTTATATAAATCACACATTTTTACTTTCTCTATCGAAGATCCCCTCATCCCTGTCTATTGGTCGAAAGGCTAGGACTAAAAAGAGGAACTTAAAGTCTCTAAGGTTAAGCATATGGTTTACATATTGACACCTTTAAAGAGCAAAATTACATGACAATTTTTGGGGGATCGTCCGGGATTGCAATGATCTTCTATGGAGAAATAGTTTAAATGTCTGATAATTCTGGATCATCTAATAATAATAAAAAAGGTTATTCGTTGAGAAGTACCGGTGACCCACTATATCCTGAAGGTTTAGCTCCGCCTACTAGACCTAAAAGTTTCAAGTTTGTTGATTCGGGTATCGGTGATTTAACAAAAATATCAGAATCGAGTGAACTCGTTACATCTGACGAGAGTGATAATAGTGACGAAACGATAAATCAAACTCAAGCTCACGTAGAGACGGAAAATTTAGATATAAATATGACGGAACAAAGGAAAATGTCTGATAATCAAAATATATCTCTCAAAGACGCGTTAATATGCATTCCTATATTTACGGGCAAACCAGAAGAATTAATTGATTTTTCAAATTGTTGTGAGGAAGCAAAATGTATGTTACCAGAGCAAGTAGAATCAAATCTCACTAAATTAATTTTTGGTAGTAAATTATCTCCTTCAGTTAAAGATGCATTAAATAAAATAACATATAGCACTGTAAATGAACTCTTAAGAGATCTTAAAAAAGTTTATGTTCCTTCTAAAACACTTTTTCAGTTGCAAGGTGAACTAGGAAGAATGTTTCAACAAGATGATGAATTAGTAGTAGACTTTGTTAATAGATTACGGAAAAAAGCAAAAGAAATAGTAGAATGTTTCAAATCAAATAATCCGACTGCTACTCCGAATGAAATTCAAATCTATAAGGATAATACTGATAAAGCCGTAGCTCAATGTTTTGTTCAAAATTTAAGAAATGAAATAGATCAACGAATGTCTCGATGTGACAACGTCACTGAGGCCTTAGAAAAGGCAATAGAAATAGAAAGACGATTAATTGCGCGAAAAGAAATTCGTAAAGACCCGAATAGTATAAAAACTAAAGAAAATAAAAATGAAGATAAAAATAAACCCGTTAAATTTGTAACTAATAAACCAAATAACGATAAAGACAAAAGTTTAAATAATAATAGTCAAGAGAAACCAAAGATTACATTCGAATGAAAGTAATCAAAGTAAATCTTGTAAATTTTGTAAAAAATCTGGTCACGACATTTCCACTTGTTTCCGTCTTAAAGCTAAAAAATACGACGAACAGGAAAACTCGAATGTGTCTCGCCAGATGGGCGCGGGGTCAGAGGCACTTCAAAAGCGTCCAGTGACATTGACTTTCGAGGAGGAAACCGAAAACGAGTACTAATCATGAGCGTGAAATTAGAAAATTTAGACGATCTACCGTATATTATTGTAGGCAAAACAAATAAAAATAAAGATGTAATTATGATGATAGATTCAGGAGCTTCGCCGAACTTACTTAAATTTAGCTATGTAAATGATCCGACGACAATTGATAAAAGTAAAATTGTTGAATTGCACGGTATTGCAAATGTACCAATAAAGACACTCGGAAGAGTAAAAGTTAAATTATTTAATAAAGAGACTGTATGTCATG